GGCTTTGGGGGCTGCATTTCAGTCTGAGTAAAACTTTTGCTGTGCTCTGGGACATGTGGGCCTTTTGCAACATGGGAAGGTTTCTGCAGCTCTATTTAGCCTATTTTTCTGCTTTTCACAGCCACCCACAGCACTGTGGCTCATAGGGATGTGCTAGAGAGAACAAAATCCACCCTACAGCTCTTTGTTGTGTTATGTTTGCAGGGCTTGTCCCTCCCTCCGGCAGTTCGGTTTGGGGGTACGGGATGTCGCTGAGTTCACCGCAGGGTATGGAAGGAGGGCGGATAAACGGGCCGTGATTTTAAATTAGCATTGCGAAGAATAAATTTCATACTAGTTTGGGCTATTGTAATAGTCCAAACTATTCTAGTACCTTTCTGTTCTGGAAAGGAAACACTTGTTTCTGGATGATCGAAATTGTTTGCCTTCCTTTCCATCTTTTCCACTCTAATGTAACCTGCCTTTGTTAATTTAAATTAGCGTTAAAGCTCAACTTTATCTCCGAAGAAATAAAAAGTTCACAGGAGTGCAATACTCACAGCTCTAGCTGTCCTGCTAGCTCCCCAGACGGTTTCCCTCCCCCCATTTTAAATTTCTTGGCCGATGCTATCTGAGTTTAGTAGATGATAGACATTTTTAAGTATATAAAGTTTATGCAAATTTCCTGAAAACCCAAATTTAAGGGCAACAGGGACATCCAGTTGATTTTCCTGACAGAAATGCTGCTAGCTGAGTTCAGCAGCATTATTAAGACACCAGAGAGCGGAGGGAGGCCCGGTTGGAAGCATTCTTCTGTTCCCGTGAAAAGTGTCAGTTGTGACTCTCATCTCACCACATCTAGCTACTCAAGCCGTGAGACATGGAGTCATGGGAAGCCAGGCTTAATAAGTTCTGCTCCTTACAGAACTGCTTGTTAAGTACTTGAAAGATGCTCAGATGCTGTTGTGAGAGGGAAAGAAAAGAGAGGGGCTTTATTGCATTAATTTTCAAATAGCTTTTCTAAAATTTAAAGGTCAGCAAGAAGTCAAGTTGTAAGTTCTCCAGCGGGGCTCTGTGTAGTTACATATGTTCATACATACAAATCCAGTGCTAAGGTCTAATCATTCTGGGAAAATACACATAATACAAAATGGTATGTAGAATAAACACCAGAAAAGAAGCACTAACTTTTTAAAATTTTATCTTTTATAGTAAAAAATATCCCCAAATATAAATTGGCCTCTCTCTGTTGGTAAAGCCAGTACAAGTGACTGACAAATGGGTGGAGATCTAACTTTCATTCTCAAAATAATTTCAAAAGCAGCTTAATGTGAGTTCATATAGTACTTTCAGGAGTTGTTCCACCCACATTTGTGTTACCATCTCTAACCTGTGAGTCCTTTTTGGAGCTGTTTGTGGTTTTTTTATGAGTTTTGTTTGACATGAAGACTTAAATCTTGGCAGGATAGGGAAACAATGCACACCCACCACCTAACTCAATTTGTAGGATATTTCCTTTCCAGAACTGCAAGGGATTACATATTTCACTCCTTAGTCTCATTGCAAAAAGACTTATAGTGACGTTGGAGCACTCCACGGAGAAATGGAAGTGAGCTCAGAAGGTACAAGGAATAGCACTGCCTGTCAAAACAATGTTTTGTGCTCTCTATTACATTTGGTCATAGCTACCTGCTTGGCACTGATCACGTTACTCTGTTACTACATTTAGGAGTCTCAAAAAATAGCACAAGTAGAGGTCTTGCTTCTTGAAGTGTTAAGTCTTGCAAAATAATCCTGCAGTCAGGTGCCACAGAAAATTTCTAAAGCAGTGTTCTTCTCTAAAGAAGTATCACTTCAGTGAATAGATCCACAGTCAGTACTACTTCAGTCCTGTCCTTGTTTAGTGATAGCAACCATTATGTCCCTCCGGGTGAAAAGAAGTGAGTTTGATACTCTTTGGATCATGTCTCAGGGACCCAGTTACATGAAAAGCTGAGCAACCTCAGCTCCCATTGAAATTAGTCTGAGGCTGAAGTACTTGATGTTTTGTGTGATCAGATGCCAGCATTGTTAATGCAAAGTGCAAGCAAGATTTGAGTTTTGCTCTCTGTATCTTTGCTGCTCATGACACTCACATAAAAGGCAAATGGTATAGAATTAGTTTTGAGCTTCTCTATCATCAGAATGACCCAAAATGGTCTGAGCTTGCCTTACAGTCTATCCTTTGGGTTTAAAGAATTAGCAACAAAGAAAAGTCATGCTGCTTTTTCTATAAAGTAAATAGTTTCACTTCTGATTCATCAAGCATAAATTGCCTGTGATACTTTTAGAGTCTTTTGTCAGAGGTGGTGGGTGAAAGTGCTGAATTCAGAGTTTATTTAGGCAGCTTACTTTAATCTATATTTTTTGAAAAAGTTACTGTTTTGGGTAAATTGGAGAGCTCTTAATTTTTGAGTGGGTGCTGAAGCATGAAGTGCATGATGTATTATACATATATTTAAATTATCCATACCACTCTCTTTGTTAATGAATGTTTCCTGATTCTGTACAGTGTAACATACCTCCATGAGTCTGTTTTCTCCTGACCTGAGCCAGAATACTGATCCATCAGATAACATGGGCTGAGCACATCACAAAAATGTCAAGCTGCAGTCCTGTAGACACACCTAAGTTCTTGAGTACACCTATTGGACTCAAATTGTTGCATGAAGCCTGCACAATTTAGAATCATGACTGTTACTTTTCTATAATGAATTCTGCTCCATAGTTGTCACCAAGCAGCACAATGAAAATAAGATGGTGTTTAAATCCAAGACAACACTGTTTGGCAAAGTTTTTTGTGACATCTCCCCAGTGAGATGATGTGTCTACAATTGGACATTTTTTATTTAACCATGTGATTAGTTCTGTGAGCTAACTCTTTGTTCTGTATTTGCACGTCTTGCACACTAGAGCCCTTGCCTATGGCTGAGGTTTTCCGTAAATTAATGTGCGTGCTTTTGCAGTGCAGTAAACAGGTTACTTCTTGGAGGAAAACAAAATGTATCACAGTAAATTATCACTGAATTGCTATACAAAAAGCTGCTTCTGGAGGAGCAAATGATTAATGCCTGCATTGAAGGTAAATACAGACCTGCTCTTGTGTACCTGTGTCCTAGTGGGGTCAAGTACTCAGTTTAGTGGTAGTTCAACTTGTACAGGTCTTTTTCAAGAATGCTTTAAGAGAATATCAGGAAGTTACAATTCAGAAAACTAGAAATTATTTCTGTCAAGGGCTAATGAGAAATATTAATAGTGTGTTTTGTATGAGAATTATAAAACTGATTTTTTTTTTTTCTTTCCTATTTAAAGGAAGAGCCAAGGCTGGATGTTCTGATAAATAATGCAGGGATATTCCAGTGTCCATACATGAAGACAGAGGATGGTTTTGAGATGCAGTTTGGTGTAAACCACTTGGGTCACTTCTTACTTACCAACCTTCTTCTGGGCCTCCTCAAAAATTCTGCTCCAAGCAGGATTGTGGTAGTATCCTCAAAGCTTTACAAATATGGAGAGATCAACTTTGAAGACTTGAACAGTGAAATAAGTTACAATAAAAGCTTTTGTTACAGTCGGAGTAAACTGGCTAACATACTATTTGCAAGGGAGCTAGCCCGTCGGTTAGAAGGGACAGGAGTCACCGTCAATTCACTTCATCCTGGGATTGTTAGAACAAATCTAGGCAGATACGTGAATATTCCTTTGCTGGCAAAACCCTTGTTCAACTTGGTGTCATGGGCTTTCTTCAAAACACCTCTGGAAGGAGCCCAGACTTCTATTTATTTGGCCTCTTCTCCTGATGTTGAAGGTGTATCAGGAAAATATTTTGGGGACTGCAAAGAGGAGGAACTCCTGCCCAAAGCCATGGATGATTTGGTTGCAAGAAAGTTGTGGGATATCAGTGAAGTGATGGTTGGTTTATTGAAATAAGTGCCAGGGAGTATCTGCAAAATAGAATGCAGGTAACTGTGCAACACATTTTCAGCAGTGTAATTCTCACTTTAAATTCTGTAGGAATACAGATAACTTTGCTCATTAAGTATTAAATAGAGGAGTGATTTATGATGGAAGTCTATTTTGAAATAAAAGACAATCTATTTAATAGACACAGGCATTCAAAAAAAGTCTGAAATAGAGTTTGAGGGTGTGAATATAATTTCTGGTTAAATCTGCTTGAAAACTCATGTTTACAAATAAAAATTAAAACTGTGGCTTGCAATATATATGCATATTTGTCATGTTCCACTACTTGTAGTTGGGCTGGACAATGCAGGGTAGTTGTGGTGAAACACTGTAAAAAGGTTTCAGAAATAGGTCCGAGTTATAATAATAGTAGGATTGTTGTCTTTTTGAGCCATCCTAATGAAAAATTGAATAAACAGTTCTACTGCTATCTTACACTGTAATCATTTAGGCCTCTGAGTGCTATTTGCCATTCAAAGACTTGTCAGCTCCATGGTTCAGTGAACAAAACTGTTGAGCCATATACAGTTTAACTGTGAAGCACAAAGTCAACTTTTTTAGTGATGTCACCGCTATTCAATGAGTATATATGCTTGATTGTGCAAGCTGTATTTTTATTTTCATGCATGCTTGAACTTGTGATTTCTTGATATGCAGACCTTGGGTTTCATTAAAAATGTAATTGACAGACTTATTATGGTTTTGATAGGGTTTTGCATGTCACAAATAGTGTGCATACAAAGTTCACAAGACCTTACCCGGATTAGACTGGAGAGAGTATGCTTTTCAGTGTGTGTTTGGCTTGACTGATGGCACTTTAACTCAGTAATGAGATTAAATAAGTCTGTCTGATACATCTTACTGAATATTCTTTAATAAAATCTTTAAAAAAAAGACTTAGCATTCATTCTTTCACTGTGGAAGATATATTAGAAACCAGCAGTCTTGACACAGTAGCCTTGTTTCAAAGCAGAAGTTACACTTATATTGGTTTAGGGAGCCTGTCATGTAGGGTAGAAATAAAATGGGCTCCAGATAAATACATGGGTATTGTGTGAAGCTGTGCTGATTTATTCTTTTTCAAGTCATATCAGTTATGGGTTCATACTGATGTTTATGACTTCTTTTGCTCTACATTAATGAAATGGTCTAGCAGTTAAGTCTGTTAAGCTAATATTGAGTAGAATAAATATGGAAGAATGATTTAGAGTGATTTGTCAATAAATATTACTCAAGGGAAGGAATATCAATAATAAATGATGTATTCAGTAGATCCTTATTACCTACTTATAAATACATATCAGTTCTGCACTAAGGTAGCAACCAACCATGTTTTTGAGATTCTTTCTCTGGTTGTTTATTCAGGCTCTCAGCATATTTTAACATGCCTAGTGGAGTGGACCTGATCTGTCCTTACCCTTCACCAGCAAGACTGTGTTCTGGGCGAGTGACTTGGGTGGGGGTGGAAGGTGGCATTGCAGAAAATAATATGGCAAGCTATGAAATGGAGCAGGTTTTTAAGATGTTGAGCTGCTTACTGTAAGGCGAGGTGTAGAGGTGGGTGTGGTGTCAAAGCATGCTCTGGGTGTTGAACAAAGTTCAACTAAAGTAATGCCAGGGAGGTGTGTAACATGCTTAGAGAAGATTCTGCTTTGATCTTCAGTGTCGTATTTCACATTTTCATTCCAAATACTTCTAAATAGTTGCACGCAGCACCTTTAAACCTAGCTAAAAAGTTAAAAGTTCATTAATGTTAACTTCTCCGTAAAGAGATATGGAGAAGCTCAGCCAAACTTGGGTTTGTGTTTTTAGTACTACTGCAGCAATACTAAAGGAACGCTACTGTATTGTTTCACTGCTGAAATATGTGTATATGTCTTGCAAGGAAAGCCTGGGATGCAAAGGTGGAGGATGGAGAAGATGGCTAGTCTGAAAATACTGTAGTAAAGAACTGCACTGAAACTGGCTGCAGAGCAGAGAAATATGTAATTTTTCAAACTGAACGACCAACATAGGATGTGCACTTGCCTTCAAAGCAGCAAAGGTGGTTCTATACTGATTTAAGAGATGTAGAATAAGAAGTACTAGCCTGCATAATGTGTAATGCTTCGTGCATCTATCAGGTGCTTGTTTTTATTGCAGAAATAGCATTGCAGAAATAAGAGCCTTTGTCAGAAGAGGATTGCATTCCTGCAATTGTAACTAAATTACAGCCCCCGTTCCAGAATAGGACAGTGATCACATGATACCCTGAATGGAATATTAATGAATGGATATTTCCTGAAAACAATTTGAACGGATGGATTGTTAGGAACTTACCAAAAGATAAGCTTTTTTCAACATCTGAAATAAGTAAAATTTGTCACTTCTGAAGTTGAATGTAACTTAGCCTCCATGGACCAGAAAGCTTTGACTACTCTCTTGAGACTGCTGTTAACATTTGTTTATGATGTGGTGCTTTTGTTATTCTAGTAGCATCTGTGAGCTGGAGACCACATAGGTCAACAGACCTTGTGAAATGTAAGTGCAAAACCAAAGGAGAGCCTTTTTTCAACAAGCAGTAATGCTGACTCAGTCTAGGTTAGAACAAAGCATGTTGGCTAAGAAATTATCTCTACAAGGATCTTAGTACACTCACATATACATGTATGATTTAAGGACTGTCTACTGAATGTCTTGGAGCTGGTAGAGGATGCTGTAAGAGGAGATCAGCACCTTCACACTTCAGTGTAGTGGTGTCTCCAGAAAGATGTGGCAAGCTCTGTATGTTACTATTGTATAAACAATTTATAACAAGAGCATGCAGCCAAAACCAGGATGCATTCCAGATGCCTATTCCACCATCACCACCATATGAACACTGCTACCCTCAAATTAAGCTTATTTACCATGAAGAATTAAACTTTTTAAAAATAGGGGTGAAAGAATCAGACAGTGACCTGGAACGTAAAGCCCATGGAAACACAGCTTTCATTGGCAGGTACAGGCACTGATCGCATTGCTGGGAAGTACATTACAGATGTGCAAGGAAGACGCAGCTGGGGTTAAGATCTTGTTCAGGTCTCTGATAAACACAAATGTTACAAGGCAACTCTTTACAAAACCAAGATGTACCGTCAGCCATCTTATATAAATTGTTGGAATTTGAGCGTTTGATTTTGGGTCCACCAGCAGTGTTGGGCCAGCGCTCCATGCCTGTGCCCTGGGGATTTAAAAACTGGCTGGGATGTGTACAGGGCACAGTGACTCCTGAGAGCATATCTCCAGCCCTTTTGCTTTTCGCAGGGGAAATGCCTCTGCCCTGCTGTAGCTGAGAGGTGGAGGGTCACAGCAGCGATTGACTATTTGCAAACTTTCCACATTGGAGCCTTCAGCCAGTCTTAGCAATGAATGGAAATGCTTCCAAGTGGCCTCATTTCTCAATGATCACATTTTGTACAGCAACAACAATGCAGGCTAACTGTACTCTAAAAGGGTTATTTTAAAATCAGGGTATGAGAGTGTGTGTGTACAGAAATGCATGCGGGTACAATATAATCCCTCATTTTAAAAGATGGACAGGAAGAGCTGTCAAGGATTTACCAAAGGACTGAGGGGATAGGGGAGTGAGTTGTCAGTACGGGAGTGTCACCTGCTACCTGTGCTGCTTTGGTACATGGTGAGACATTGGGCTTGGGGGCAGATCTGTTGGGCTTGAGCTCAGCGTTGAGCTCAGTTGCATAAACTTGCATCCAGGTAGACATACCCACTGTCTGCTTTTGCAGCTGGAGAACACACAGGGTACGGCTCAGTGGAGGAAATGTCTCCATGTAATGATGAAGAGAAACAGGCTTCAGGTTTCTTAAGGGGAAGGTTTCTTAACTGCTTCAGTATAATTTATTCATCTTTGGCTATGGTGCTTTTGAAAGTTGCCCTGTAACCAAATTCCTTCATGGATAGACCAAGAGTCTAAGAAAGAAATAATTTCCTTTTTTAAAAATTTCTTTCTTCCTTTTGATTCTCAGTCCCAGGCACTAGCTATAAGCCAGTGCTCCCTGCACACATGTAGCTATTATAGCTGAGGTTTCTGCAAGTAAACTAAATTGCAGTTGCATGTATTTATTTTATATGCCCTGTCTGTTTAAGTTAAGGGAGACTTATGTACATTAAAAAAAAAAATACTCTGAATCTGTCACCAATTTACCTTCCTTACCTTGCCACAAAGGCCAACATCTATCCCCAGGCAAAGGGACAACGCTGCTCTTTCAGTTACTACAGCCAACGCAGCAGGCAAGGTTATAAACCCAGCAGGGGTTCTCTAGTAAAAATTCTCCATCTTAATGAGATAAATGATCAGTTTTTCCATGATGTAATAAAACCAGAAGTATTTAAACTCTCCTCTCTTTCTTCAGTGGTTGCCTGATTTGCCCAAGCTTCCTACTAAGTAAATGCTTCACAGGCTTCAAAGCCTGAGCCCTGTGAATGTGTGGTGTGATTATGCTTTTGCTGAAAAATGTGGATAATTCCCACTTCAAGCACACTTAATTTCTTTCCACCTAAGGCTATAAAGAAAATAAACAACTTGCAAGAGTCATGCAAATAATTTTAAAATGGGAGGCCTGTTCCCTTTTTCACATAACTTTTTCCAAACTAATCACTTAGAGAGTAATTGACTTGCAAAACGATCCAGGAGGCCTCCACAGTTGAATTATTATTTTTGATCTGTCCCAGAATGGTGCTGCTATTTCTCATAACACAAAATGACGACCTCCCTCTAGACTTTTTACTTACCGCTTCAGCTACCACTAGCAGCCTCACACCTGTCGTAACTGGATGCAGATCAGAGAAATTAATTTGAATATTTAATTAATTCCAAATGTCCTATGCAGCATAGAGAAAGGAGGACCGTTCTAATTGCTTTTTGGGGGGAAGGCTGGCACACTGATCACCTAATAAGGTTGATAGCCTGCCCTTTCTACATTTAACAAAGTTTGCTTCTTTTCAGGTAATGAGAAAGAAACTTAATTAATCCGATTAGGGAAGGAAATTATAGCTTATTTGCCACGAAAGAGGCAAGGAGGGTGTCACATGCTTGTAATCTATAATAACCACTTGAGCAAGGTATTGAGCATTTCTCGCCATCTGCTTCATGGCCAAAGCAAGGAGTCTGAAGTCATGGTCCCACTAAAAGCGCTGGGAATCAGACACCTAAATATTTTTGCTGATCTTGATCTCCTGGCTTTAGATTTGGGCAGTAGGACTCCTACAGCCAGTTGGATGATGATTCTTTCAAGCCTGATGAATGAGGCTTTATGCACTTCTCTGTATGTGTGGCATTTAAAAAAAATGCTTCACAAATTATGGTGGTGATGGGGTGGTGGTGGTAGTGGTGTTATATATATACATATATATATACTAAGTATCCTGCAACATTCACCAGAAATGTGTGTGGTTTTTACCCAAAGAAATGTCAGCCCTTTTCTGCAGTTTGTCAGTTTGCCACCTGGACTGCACTTTGGTGATGAGTGATGTTATTTCAGTTTATCTAAGCCCTGTTGCAACCTTCCCCAACAGTAGGCCAGTGCCCAGGGTCCTCCTAAGTCACTGCATGACCATCCACTCTCCAAATTCCATCTGCCCATGAGACAAGAAATGTCAAGGTCTTTCTAGATGCTTCAAGAAAACATTCATGAACAACATTATACAAAGACAAGTGACAACGCCTGGAGGCCCAGAACCTACATGCCCTGCAACAAATAGGTTTGGTAACCTTTTGTGTACTCATTGCCAGGAACACCTTCTCTGGTGTATATGGACAGGCGTTTTAGACTTCAGCCTGCCCCGAAGGCCTGTGTATACAGAACTGTAGATGTAGCCTGTGGATAAAACAGCAGATTAAAAT